AGAGCCTTCTCTGTGGCTGCTCCGTCCCTTTGGAATAAGCTACCCCCAGAGATCCGGACCTCACCCACTCTCATGGCCTTCAGGAAAGCTGTAAAAACCTGGCTGTTCCGGCAGGCCTGGGGCTGTTGACCTCCCTGTTGAGGTCCAGCCCCGATTAGAACGAATGCATGTGGTTTTGTGATTTTAAACTGTCTTTTTTCTTGTTTTTTTCCCTCTCTTTTTTCTTCTTTGTAAGCCTCCCGGAGTCCTTCGGGATTGGGCGGCATATAAATTTTAATAATAAATAAATAAATAATAAAATAAATTACCTAACCGGACCTCTTGCTTCTCTGTCCCCCTGTGCAGGTATCAAGACTTTGCTGCAGGCCAGGCCTCTGTAGGAAAGCCCCCAGCTTAGCCGCCTCTGCTGCTGCCCCCGTCTCTTCTCCTGCATTCCTCCGTGCAATGACCCCGCGACAGCTTCTGTGATGTATGCGCCAGAGTGCAAGGCGGAGGTGACCCCTTCACACAACGGCAGTCGCACCTTCAGCTACACCCTGGAGGACCACACCAAACAAGCTTTCAACATTATGAATCAGTTGCGCCTAAGTCAGCAACTCTGTGACGTCACCTTGCGGGTCAAATACAAGGACATCCCCCCGGCCGACTTCCAAGCCCACAAAGTGGTGCTGGCCTCCTCCAGTCCAGTCTTCAAGGCCATGTTCACCATGGGCCTCCGGGAGCAGGGTATGGAGATAATCCCCATTGAGGGCATCCACCCCAAAGTCATGGAGCGCCTGATCGAGTTTGCCTACACCGCCTCCATTTCCGTGGGCGAGCAGTGCGTGCTGCACGTTATGAACGGGGCCGTCATGTACCAGATAGACAGTGTGGTGAAGGCCTGCTGTGACTTTTTGGTGCAGCAGCTGGACCCCAGTAACGCCATTGGCATCGCCAACTTCGCCGAACAGATTGGATGTACTGAACTGCACCAGCGGGCGCGGGAATATATCTACATGAATTTTGGAGAGGTGAGACCCTGTTGCGAGGAAAGGGTACCAAGGGGAACAGGAGCAGCCTGCCTATACTAGTGCCCAAAGAATGTCTGAATTAGAATATGGCTTTGCTTTCGACGGCCTTCCACCACATTCCTCCCAGCGGCCGGTAAGGTCCCACAGGGTGGGCCTCCTTCGGATGCCGTCAGCCAGACAATGTCGGCTGG